AAAAGTAATAAAAGATAAAAGAGTAAACAAGATGATTAATATATATGAATAGAGTATGTTGTGTTATTAGACAGACTCATTATTTCATTTTAATATAACCGTCATATAATGCTCCATTAATGAGGGCTTTTAAATTTAAGGCGGGATTTTTTCCTAATAAAAGGCTACACTCATAACTAAATGAATAGTTTGGACTTGATTGTATTATTTGTGATATTGATCGTGTAAGCTTTTCTGTTAGGTTAGAGTCAATCTGTATATGGTGAATAAGTTCTTTAAAAGTATTCTTGAAGCAATTTTGAATGTCTTCAAAATTAAGAGTTATGCAATCAATAATAATTGCACCAATTGGATGTACTGAACACTGAGAAATAAATTGATTGTCATAAAATACAAGAGGCTCTATTGGTGTTGATATAATTTGTGTGATAATTTTATTTATGACGTCGATGTCAATAATTGGTTTTTTATCCACAAATAAAAAGAGGTTCAATGGAAGAGACTGACAGGTAGTGAATATCTGAACTGTGGTTGAGTTTATGGTTGATGAATAACTTGCATCAATTTCAAATATGCTAGAAATAAATTCTTGTTTTGAAAGATCATTCATATTTAATGAGAGTATTTGCAATCTTAAATAACGAGCTGCAATCTCATTGATTGTTGGCTCTATTGAATTCTTTGATAAAGTAGTGTGGATGCATTGTTTTTTATTTAAACCTTTATTTTCAATAATAATTTCACATCCAAGAGCTTTTTGTTGTTAATAAAAATTTTAAAAAGAAACGATTTAAAAAAAGCAACAAACGTGTTTGAATAAATGATAGTATTGGGGATGAAGATGGACAAATACAATCATCTAGAGCTTTACACACACTTATAATAAGTAAGTCCATAATGAAATTAATTATTTTTTTCTGTTAATAAGCTTGTCATAAATCCAATCTCTCCATTCGTTTCGTTCTAATAACTTTATTAACATGATAAAGAAAATTAATAAAAAGAATGATATCAAGAAGAAACATGCCACAATCCAATATCCATAACTTTCTTTTATTAATGAGTATTCAAACCAAATCATCTGGTGAAATGAAGTTATGTCAAGATTTTTATAATGAAAGATGGTATTATCAAAAGTCCAATACTTTAAGAATGGCACAGTAAATTTGAAATGATCACAGAGATTATAAACATCACACTTTACGTTTTTTATTTTCATACCATTAGGAAAGTGAATATGAACTTCATAGTTACGAACAGAAATTGATTCTAAGGCTAGGCTTATTGGAAAAACAAATGTTGAATTAAAAGGAATTAACTGTTCATAAGAAATGGAAAAAGACTCTTTCCAATTACCTAGCAAAGGATATCTCCCTATGAGATTATATGTGCAAGTGTAAGAAGAGCAGAAATAAGAAGAAGTGGAAATATTTCCTGAAGAGTCATAAAAATGAAAAGATGAAATTGATAAGGGTAAATGAAGAAAGAAATCATAAACAGTATTATGACTTGCTTGAACCTCATTTAGATTAAATTCATGTAAAGATGTACCTAAGTTAGAAATGTTGATGAAATCTATCTCTTTTCTCAATGAGACTAGATGAGGGTCTGAAGTAAATTTAATATAGTCATGTTCAATAATTTGTTCAGTTTCTATTGTTGTAGTATTTGTAAAATACTGAATTTGGAAAGGAATTTCTGTTTTTGAACTTGGACTAATTAAATGGAAATGCACTTGAGTTAAATCAATTTTTGGACTAACAACACAACGAATATCAACAATATCTCTTTTTAATAAATAAATATATGTATTAACTTCTTTTGCTTGATTATATAATTGAGGCATAATTATTCCTCGAAACTGCATTAAATCAGGATCATTAATACTAGACTTAACTCCTATTCCATGTAATTCACCAACTATATCAAAATTACATACAATTTTTCCTTTATCTGAGTCATGCAATAATACCTCAAATTCTTTTTTATTTCCTTCTTCAAGTAGCCTATTAAATTAATACCTAATAAATAGACAAAATATAACAAACTGTTCTAAAACATATGCAACGGTTTTTTCTTTGTCATTATCAAAAATACATGAAAATGGTCCAAGATGACTTGAAAATTCGTTTGAAAAGAAGAATGAAAATGATGATATTGGTTCTTTCATTTCAAAGTCTGCAATTAGTTCAACATGGGGTTGTCCTGTTAAAATGAAATATTTCATAACAATACTATTTTTTACGATTTTGGATGGTCGTACTACAGACCCCCAACATACAAATAACAAGAAAAAACATAACATGAAAATTTTTATTAAATGGATTTTTGTCAGTTCTAAACAAAAAGAGAAAATGTAAATTAAAAGAATTTTAAAGAAAAGAATAAAATTAAGCCAATTCTTCAATGCATTTAGCAGCAGTCCTAACACACTCTCTGCATGGCATAACATTACCACCTCTAATTTCTTTGCACTTAGTACATCCATTACTTGACTCTTTAAATTTGGAAATACATGCTTCTTTTTTATCTTCTCCAAGAATTTGAATAGCTGCATACAAAGCACCACAGTAGCCTTCTGGGGCTCTTCCTCCTCCACATCCAGATAATTGTTCAATAAGCTCTTTTCTATTTCCTGTTACTTCAGAATAACCATATGCAACTGATTGAGAGCAATTTCCTTTGTGAGCTCCATGATATTCTACAGCAATTTCTGAAATAGTAGCCATCTTTTCAAGTTAAGTATAAATCTTAAAATTATTTTTACATTAAATATCAAAAATAATTTATATAATTTACTTCTTTTTTAAATATAAATTGTTCCATTTTTTATTTATGTATAGTTGTTCTTTTTGATTTGTTTTTTATATTATTCCAAATCTTCTGAATCATCAAAAAATAATAATTTACTTTTTCCATAAACATAATCGTATTTTTTGTTGAGAGTATATTATTATCTCTTTTCCAAAAAAAATCAACTTTCAAAATACTTATTTAGAAAAATAGATTTTTAAATTTATCTATTTTTATTCTCTTAATTCTTTGACATTCTCTTTGTTTGTATTGAAATTTAATTTGAAAGCATTTTTATATTTTAGAAACATAAAAATAATCCACAACAATATGAAAACTATTTGTTATGTTCTAACGTTTGTTTAATTTTGTTTATACACATTTATTGATTTTATTCGTTCTTTGGTTTGATAACTGTTCTTCTAATTCACTACCTGTTATGAGAATGGAATTTTTTATATTAACCAAGTTAATTATGAGAATGAAAATATAAAGTTACAATAGAAGAAAATGTATTAATCAAATTTCAATTGATTCAGTTGAAAATACAAAAACAATACCAACATTATTTACAAATCATCAAGCATAAAATATTTTAAAATGAAACTATGAAGAATATAACAAAAAAAAAACAAAATGCAGACATAAGTAATGTCTTAAAAAAATAATAGAAACAATTTCATTTATTGAAATAGTGTAAGAAGTTATTATTATCTGTTAACATTTGTATATTATAAGTTCGTATTTAAAATTTCATATAAATGCATTCTACTAACAAAGAAAGCTATAAAACTACATTCTTGTTTCATTTCGTTGAGCATAAAAATATCAATTAAAAATTATTTTAAATAGTAATACATTCAGTTGTGACTTTAACTATTAATTTTAACTAATATAGTTTTGTTCTAACCATCAATATTAAGAAATTAATTATTAATAGAATTATTTCTATTGTTTATTGTTCATTTGATACTAATCTCATTCTTGAAGTATTATTAACATATTTTAATGATTATTTTTGATTGTGGTAAAAGCAATATTCAAGCACATCTATCATGTTTTTAATTACATAGTTTTTAACTTATTTAATGATATCAATTTCAATTTTTATTTCTTCTATTTTTGTTTATTAATTTTATGACATAATGTTTTTTAATTCTAATTCTATATTCCCTTTTTGCAATACTATCTATATAATATGTCATTTCATATTTCACTCTTGTACAATAATACTTTATTATTCTAATTAGTTCAATAAGTTGTTCAATAACAATAATAATTAATAAAATAAATGATATATAAAACAATAAATGATATATCATTTTGTTATTTCATTAAAGAATGTAGTGAAATAATAATGAACTAGAATAGAATTTACAACAAGACATGATTTCATGATTTTCATTCAGAGCAATCCTTTCAAAAATGTATAAAACCAATTATTATTTAAACAAGAAACTCTTGATGCTAAAGAAAGAAAAATAAATACTTTATCTGACTAACAAACAAAAAGAAAATTAAACCCAAAATATCAAAAATATCAAAACAAAAAAATTAAAAACAAAAAACAAAAAAATTCTAGAAAGAAGCAAAAGAAAATTCTTAAAAGCTATAGAAGAAAAAAGAAAAAAAAAGATAAAGTGTGAATAGTTCTTTGAAGAAAAGAACTCAGTCAATTAAAACATGAAACTCGAAGTTATAATACTGTTGATTGCTATTACCTTTGCTCAGTGTAGTGTTTCTAATTGCATGAAATGTGTAAATGGAGCAGACAGCAAATGCGAAAAATGTGATGATGGTTATTTTATTTCTCAAACAGGATTGTGTGTTGAAAAAAGCAGATTTATTGGGTGTAAAACTTTTGGCTCGGTTGGATGTGATGAATGTATTGAAGGATATGTAAAAGTGTCAAACTTTGTATGTATGGGTTTGTTTTTATATTTTATTGGTTTGGTGGGTGGTATTTAGTTAGATATAAACTGATCATTAGAATGTCATAGCTTTTTCACTAATTGTAATGAATGTACTTCTACAGAATGTAAAACATGTGATAACGGTTATGATTTAAAGGATGCAAATACAGAAGTTCCTGGTATTACTAAGGTATGTGCCAGTTCCATGTCATTCATTGTAGCAGTACTAATGGTAATTTTCATTTTATTATAATGATTTAATTGAAATTAACGATACATTTTTTCTATTTTTTATCAAATATATTGTTATAAAGGGGGGAAAAATGAGAAATTCAATCATTTTCTATCTCTCCTTTTCTTTTTTTGAGTTAAAGAAAAATCAATGAGGAAAACCTAAACGAAATTCTAAAATAAAAAAAAAGGGTTTAAAATCTGAATTAAGATATATAAATCATAATGAGTGATAGAATTACCTATGATGCACAAAGAAATGCTCGTGTCCAATACATATGTGCTAGTTTGTTTTTTTTAATCTTATTAGTGTTAGTCTATAATGAATAAGTCAAATTAATATGATTAAGAATGTGGAGCCGAAACTTCTTTTAAAGTAAAAGAAAGTAATATTTGTTGTTCTCAGTGTCAATGTAGAATTTTATATAAAAAGAGAACTCCAGAACGTTTGTCCTTTTCTTATTTGGTTCATAAAGTATCCAATTGAATATTAACAAGAAATAGCTGTTGAATTTGAAGCAAGATAGAATGAATTGAATATTTGAAGTTTAATTTTTTTAAGACTTTTGGTTGTAAATTTAATTTTTTACTAAAATTCTGATTTTAACAGAACAAATAAAAAAAATTATATGCTGAAGATTGAGGTTGTAGAAAAGAACTTTTTAAAATGAATAAACAAATGAGATAATATTATCAAAACTAAAATAAGATGAATGGCTTTTACGCTAGTTATTAGTTTGTGTGAAGAAGCAACTATTGGTTAAGGCATTTCTTCTGATTTTCTTATTATTTATAAAGGAGAATGAGATGTATTGTAATATTAATAATCCTATGTTTGTTCGTTTAGTTTCTCCTTTTAAAGTGTGTATTTTAAACAAAGGTTAATGCATTAATAAATGTGTTTTACAACATAATGGATTTTAGTATATCATGTGTTAAGATTATCCACAACAATGCCTAGTAAAAGTGTATGTAATAGGTTAAGTGTAGAGCCAAATAAGATAATTGTTATAGTTTTTATTGTGGGTTATAACCAAAAAATTATGTTTATTATGTAAACCAATATATGAAAACTTATTGTAGAGTTAATATTTGTGAAGGTTCAGAAACGTGTAATAATTGTTCTAGTGATTGTAAGTATGTAGTATTTATTCACATACATCAATTTGTCAATAACTAGTTGTAGATGTAAATCAAAAACACCTAATTACATCCCACCAATTAAGTTACCTCAATTCATTTGGTTAACTGTTGGTGATGCAGTATTTGAAGGTTATTATAACAAGTCTTTGCATTATAGCCATTTACTCTTAATTATTGGCTATCTCAAATTAATTATGGAATTAGGCTTGGAACGTTTGATAAACTATATTTTGGACTATAGGAAATTCATTTGTCTAAACGGATTTTTGAAAATAGAAGTTGTATAGAGGTAATGGATTATAACGTAACTGGTTCTGGATTACATAAGGCTTTAGAATAAAATTTTTAGAGGCATTATAAGAATTCAATAACTCTTTTTTGTGTTTACTTTCATAGACCTTGGTTTATCAAGAAAGAATTGCCACCTTTCTTTCTTTTTTTAAAGACAAGTCTCATAGTCGTTATATATTCTTTGTTACAGGAAAAGAGATTATTAACTTCTTTAAGACTTTATAACAGTAAAAGAATAACAAAAATACCTAGTTGCTCCAATGATAGATGAGGAATGTCCTAATAGACATTTTCAAAACTTGAGTATCAATACTCTTTAAAGTCTTAAATTCATTTTTCTTATATACTTCAGAATCTATTTTTTTAAGAAAAATATTATAAAAATTTAATTAAAATTTTTTCAATAAAATTTTAATTAAATGAAAGGTTTGTCTAAATTTATTGTGCTGTCATTGATTCTCCTTCAATTGTGTTGTCAAGAGCAAGATTAGCATAGTCTACTTCTAGTTCATACAAGTCTTGTCGTGCATCAGTAAATTCATTTTCT